CACAGATAGCCCATTGTGTAGCTTTGTGTTTAACTTCAAATAAACAAATTCATTTCTGAAGAAACATCTTGTACGCAATTTATCCAATGTTTAGTTGTTTTTTTCTGTTTTTAAAGGATGAAAGCAGACCTTCTTTTAGAAAGACTTCGGTTAAAAAACACTTTATTAATCATAATTTAATTACAATATTTGATTTTAGCACGATGTTTTCATTATAATTAATGTTGTTTTAAAACATCAGTATTGTGGGTTAGTCATAAATAAAAAAAAATCGTATAACTGTTTTAACCCATACTGAAACTTAGAGAAGACAGGAAAAAAACCCATGTATTTTTTTACCATAAAGAGACGTTAATTTGAGTACAATCGCGAGATACCACCTGAGCTACCACTAAAGAACGCCGCTGACTACATTCTTGCACAACGTGCAGCATTACAATCACGTCTCCTCCTTTCCATGATTATAACAGGAGTGATCTTAGTAGAATGCCAAGAAACAAAGACAGCTAAAATGACGTCAACTTAACGACTTTCATGACCATGTGTTGTTCGAAAACAGCATAGACTTACAATAAACTAGAATTTTATTGAAAATTTTGAAAAATTCTACATAGAAAACGTATGGCCTGCCTGCATACCACACTCTCATTTGAAAAATCCCCAAGAAATTTGCATGTCACTGTATAGAAAATTTAGAAATCAATTATAATTCTTAAATCTTGCAATATATGTATAACTAGCTGGAATGTCCGTCCCTTGGACAGAAGTTATATAAATTCATAATTAATGAAAGGTTATCTTAGGACAAGAAAAGTTGCTTCCTTTATATGTAATTTCAAAAAACGCAAAAATGCCCGGGCAAAATGCAAAACTGAAAATGTGTATGTATCTCCCAATGAACATCCATACCAAATTTGGTGAAGATTCATCTGCAGGGGGCGAAGTAGTGGTAAAAAACTGAAATTTTGTATGTACCTCCGCATGGACCCTAATGAACCTTTACACCAATTTTGGTGAAGATCCATCCACACCCTGCTAAGTAGTTACATGGACATGCAACAGACAGTACTGTTCATAATGGAATAAGTAGAGTTGTTTAAACATTTGTTTAACAAGTTAAAGCTTGGAATGGTCTATTCTTTGAAGAATTAAATTGTGGCGGATTACTACAAGTTCTTCAAATACCTATAGAATGATAGGCTTCTTTTTTGTGAGTGTAAAACACGTAAATACAGTTTGATTTTCGATACCTCACTAATATAAAGGCTTGGTTTGGT